AATATCCTTAATAAAACATCAGAATTCAACAATCTTTTAAGGGCTTCCCTGGTGGCGCAGTGGGTAAGAATCTGCCTGCCAATGCAGGGGACACGGGTTCAAACCCTGGTCTGGGAAGATCCCACATGCCGCGGAGCAACTAAGCCCGTGCGCCACAACTACTGAGCCTGCGCGCCTAGAGCCCGTGCTGCACAACAAGAGAAGCCACCGCAGTGAGAAGCCCACGCACCACAACGAAGAGTAGCCCCCGCTTGCCGCAACTGGAGAAAGACCGCGCACAGCAACGAAGACCCAATGCAGCGAAAAATAAATAAAATAAATAAATTTATTTTAAAAAAAAAACAATCTTTTAAAAAAATTATACATCCTGACCAAGTAGAGTTTATTCCAAGGATGCAAAGCTGGTTCACTATTTGAATATCAGTCAGTGTGATCCACTGTGTTAATAGGCTAAATAAGAAAAATCTTATTTTATCAGTCAGTGCAGTAAAAGCATTTGAAAAATTTCTCTACTCATTCATGGTAAAACTGACAGGAAATAAAACACTGATAGAAAAATAGTAATTCCAAAGGAAACTGCCTCAAATTGATAAAAGAGCAACTATGGAAAGCCTACAGTTAACAGTATACTTAACAGTGAAAGACTTAATGCTTTCCCCCTAACACTGGAAACAAACAAGAATGTCCCCTTTCTCCACTCTTACTCAACATAGTGTTGGAAATTCTAGTCAGTGCATTAAGGTGAGAGAAGGAAATAAAAAGCACACAGATTGGAAAGGAAGAGATCAAACTGTCCCTATTTGCAAATAACATGATCATGTATAAAATCCTCATGGAATGTACCAAAAAAACACAAAAAACTCCTAGAACTAATAAATGAATCCTGCAAGATTTCAGGGTACAAGATAAACATACAAAAATCAATTTCTATTTAGCATATTTCTATATACTAGTAGTGAACATGTAGACACTGAAATTAAAAATACATTACTGTTTACAATCACACACACATAAGAAATACTTAGCTGTAAATTTAACAAAACTTGTATAAGATTTGTATGTTGAAAGCTATACAATACTAATGAAAGAAATCAGAGGATCTAAATAAATGGAACGATATATCATGTTCATGGGTTGAAGGACATGGTAGTAAAGATGTCAAGACTCCCCAAGTTGATAAACACATTTAATACAGTTCCTGTCAAAATCCTAACAAGACTTCTTTGTAGATAAGAGCAAGTTTATTCTAAAACTCATATGGAAATACAAAGAGCCTGAATAAATAAAAATGGTTCATTAAAGGTAAGGAGTAGGAGTAATTAGTGTACCTGATTTTAGGACTTACTTTATAGCTACAGTTAGCAAAACAGTGTAATATTGGGAGAGGGATAGACACATAGATCAATGGAACAGGACAGGGAACCCATACAGTATGACAAAGGTGCAAAATAATTCAGTGGAGAAGAGATAGCCTTTTCAGCAAATGGTTTTGGAGCAATTGGACGTTCATAGGTAAAACAACAACAACAAAATTTAACCTTGACTCAACTAAATCTCATGCTTTATATAAGAATGAATTCGACATGAATCTTGAATATAAATATAAAACAACACTTTAACTTTTAGCAAAAAATCATGGAAGCAAAACTTTAGAATCTTAGGCTATGCAGTGACTTCTTAGACTTAACCTAGACAGTTTATAAAACAAAAAGTGGGTAAGTTGGACTTCATCAAAAAATTTTTTGTTTGCTCTGCAAAGATGCTATGAAGTAACAGAAAAGACAAGCAACAATATAGGAGAAAATATTTGCCAAGCACATATCTGACAAAGGACTAGTATCTAGGTTATATAAAGAACTCCCCAAACCCCAAATTAAAAAAGCAGACAACCCAATTAGAAATTGGCTAAGAGACATGAAGAGACATCCCACAAAAGATTATATACACATGGCAAATAAGCATGTGAAAAGGTTTTTTAATATCATTCATTAGCCATTAGGGATAATGCAAAGTAAAACCAAAATGAGATATCACTACACACCTATCAGAATGGTTAAAGTAAAAATTAGTAAGAACACCAAATACTGGTATGGATGCAGAGTAACTGGATCACTTATACATTGCTGATGGGATATGAAATGACACAGTCACCCTGTAAAACAGTTTAGCAGTTTCTCACAAAACTAAGTATTCAACTAATAGCCCAGCAATTGCATTTCTGGGAATTTATCCCAGAAATAAAAATTTATGTTTACACGTACATGAATGTACATAGCAGTTTTTTTTGTTGTTTTTTGGTGTTTTTTTTTTGCGGTATGTGGGCCTCTCACTGTTGTGGCCTCTCCCGTTGCGGAGCAC